GACGCGTTTCAGAAAGGCGGGGCATAGAGGAGAAACAATAATGTACAGTATGTGGAAAATAATGTGTTTTTTGAACCGTAAACCGCATAAACACATTTCATTACACCAAATACACAAAATAATGTTCTTTTTAGCAACATCATATGACCCCTTTAACTGTTTTTATGTAATTTGATGCAAAGGTGATATAATACAAAGAATAGTGTTATAAATGTACATAAAAAAAAATACAAATATGAAAAAAACTTTCGAGGATTTACGATGCTGATGACCGTTAAACGTTAAATCACAGTCTTGTGGAAAGGGTCTATTGTATGGATAGTGACTGGGGCTGTCATTCTGCCCAGTCTACTTTTCTGTCCCATAGAAAAAAATAATCACACAGAACATAAAGGTAAATAATTTTTTTTTTTTTTAATTGGGGAAATATATATGTAAATAAATGATTTTGAGTAAAAGTAAACTGCTGTAAATGCGCAAACGCTATTTTTATTTTTGGGTGAACTGTCCCTTTAAATTCGTCCCTAACTTCCATCCGTATGTTTGCTTCAGGGAGTGCTTCCAGTCAGTCCTGCTGTAGGACGAGAGCATGTTTTTGGATCAGCGCTGATTGTCCGCGTATCGTTTATGTTACATTGTTTAAATGTGACACTAATAAGAGAACAATAACCGGTAGTTAGCGTCAACTAACAGTAACACAATAACAGTCCTCGCTAGCTTTTGCTAGCAAGTGTATGGAGTAGTGCAGATGTGACATTTAAAGATGGTTCGAAAACACACAATATGTGACAATCTGGTTTGAAACGTCTAACAAGCAGGAGGCCTTTGTAGCTTGTTTATATAACAAAGAAAGTAGCTAAACTATTCTCGGTTGGTTTAAGGCTTTTTTTTTATTTATCTGTTTACTCGTCATTATGTCCGAAGTCATACACTCATTTCAGTCACAGCTGTCTGGGGTCATGGAGACCGTTTTTAAAGCTGCCATATTTGAGATCACCCGTCTCGTGGAGGACAGTTTCGTGAAGGAAGTGTCCCGCAGTCGAGAGCAGGTAGAGACTCTGAAGAAGAGGCTCCAGTGGAGCGAGATCAGACGGAAAAATCAAGAGACGAGTGTGAGGAGTCTGAGGTGTGCAGAGTGTGACAAAGCCCGTGTGTGTAACGAGGACAAAGAAATGCCACCACAATCAGGTTTGTACACAATCGCAATTCAACTGATGCTCAATGTCTTGATTGTCACTATTTGTAATGTTCTACAAAAATAAAATGTAATGATTTTATAATCTAAAGGAACACCATATTTGATATTGGTAAACGTAGTGATTTCTTTGCTAGTAATTATTGTAGATCAGAACAGGAATTTATTGTGAACCATGCAAACTGACATCATGCATACTTAATCATTGTATTAGGTTAAAAATAAAAATGGGTTTTTGGTAGGTCAGGATTCAGAACAATTCAACAAAAATCACTCTATGAAAAAAAATCTGGTAAAAATAGCAAACCTTTAACATACACAATACAAAATTAAATAAAACTAGAAAATATGTTGTTTTAAATCTGTATTTAACAACATTATACATTTGTTCACAAATTATGAATATTACATTTACATTTAGTCATTTTGCAGACGCTTTTATCCAAAGCGACGTACAATTGGGGAATACATATAGCGATTCTTCTTAAAGAGGCAAACAGACACAGGAAGTGCTTGAAATACCAAGTTTTAGGCATTGTTCAAATTTATAAACGGTATTATAAACGGTACTCTAAATTATTTTTTTTTATTTTTTATTTTTTACATTTTAACTTTTTAAACAAGTAGAGCATGTTCAGCATGGTGCTAGTAACAATCATGAGATTCCCAGTGAACTGAACAAACATGATAAAAATGAATAAAATGATAAAAAATGATAAAAATGTCAGATAAATGCGTAATGACAATGCATAAATATTCATGTAAATACTCTGAGGCTGGCTGAGAAACTGCCATAACAAAATACATAAAAACATTTGTCATTTCAGGTCTGTGCAGCTGCTTTTAATTGACCCACAAACATCATAATTGTAGTAGCATTTTGCAAGCACATTCCACAACACATCAACACTTTCAAAGCAGGCATGTTCGTGACCCTAAATGAGGAAAAGTCACAAAATGTAAAAAAAAAATAAAAAAAAAATAAATCATAGGTTAACCAATATTTCTGACAATACAACATAACATAAACAAGGAATAAAGACCCCCATGTCATTCCAGATATATGGCTTTTTCCTTCCATCCCTTTAAAGACCATTAAAGGACTGTGTAATCAATGCCCTCACAGTTGCATTCACCCTTGACCACATGTAGAAAAGGAACGCAGCCTCAAACAGGAGAAAGTTCCGGATGGGAACTGGGGAAGCTGTGAGTTGGAGTCTGACACACTTTTGGGAAAAGAGAGATTAGAAGACCAAACCAGCACCAGTAATACAGCAGAGGTGAGTAGCCTACTGAATAAACCACCTTTTCCATCACTTCAAACCTTGTTCGTACTGCAGCATTTCTCAAAAGCTGTGTCTGAAACCTGAAAAATAATGCTGTTAAGATAAGGCATTATTTTCTAAATGCTTGTTATTGATCTTAATGTGAACAGTTCATTTGTGCGTGCAGTATGTTTCATTTTCTTAAACTCGGTCTTCTTTCTGATGATGTATGCATGACTTCTCTAATCATTTAACCTGCTTAAACTCTGCCCCTTTCTTAAAATCAACTGGACGCTACATCCAATGAACAACCGATATAGAACCAAGTCCCCGTCCTACATTTTTCCTTTTTTGATAATCTGTTTCATCACAATACAGAATATTTTAACATTCTGTGCGCATTCTGTCACATTGTGCTCTCTGTAGTCTGCAAGCACAGAGGTCAGGAAACTGAACTGTGTATTAAAAGAGGAGACCCTTTATGTCAATAAAGAGCTTCAGGATGGGTGGACGTTGGATACTGAAGGTTTGATTTTTTTTTTTTAAACATCTGATTACTGCTTTAACCCTCTCACATTAGACTGTGTTTGAAGATTTCTCTCCATGTTTGGTTTTCCAGGAGCTGAGACGTCAGATTTCTCAGCTCACAGTTACAGTGAGCAGGAGCTGCAGCAGATTCAGGAAGAGTGGAGCTCTGGGCTTGATCAGACCGCTGACAATGAAGCTTATGCAGATATTGCAGACGTCCAGGGCCTGACGTACCGAACACTTTATGACGCAGAAGAGCTAGCAAGCTACAGTGTGCAGCATGAACTGGACATGGGAGACCTGGACGGTCTCGGAGAAAGAACTGAAGACATGTTGGGTAATTCAGTATCGGTTGCAGTTGGGCTTGATCAAAACGAGCTGGACCAAGAAGGTGGGAGACGTCACAGCTCTTCCATTAAGAGTAAGAGAGGAAATGGAGAATCTTTACCTGTGCACGTCAGCCCAGAGACAGAAGATGTGGATAGAGAC